GCTTCTAGCCATGGTATTCATGATGGACTGAAGTTTGTGAAATCTGTGCCAGAGGTAAATCTAAGCAAACCCAGAGTTTAACAAGAATGCTGTAGTATTTGTTCATTAGATAAGAAAATTTTATATGTAATTAAAATGAATCTGTCAGGTTAATTCTTTATCATACTTAAAATGTTTATCAAAATTAATCAAAAACTTAGTTTTTCAAACGTCAAACCTATTATACTGACTGTTTACCATAACTGATTACAATCTAACATTCTGTTTAGAACAAAGCTGTGATAATATCTCAGATTTATGTAAGATTGTAGTTGATTACTTGAGTGTTTTTTTAAAAACGTAACATTACAAACTGAACAGATTTGCTACACTGATGGTTTACTAGATTTTATTTAAAAATAGCATATTGCAAGTTTGCTTACACTAATTTTGAAAAAGAAATTAAGATAGACTTGCTATTTTTCAGTAAACAGTTCCTTTGTAGTGATTGTTTACAATAGTTAAAGACTGGCCATTCTTTATATAAAAAGTCTGTCATAGTAGTTGTTATTAAATGATATTTAAAGACTGCCTACATATTTTACATCAAGTCTATCATAGTTGTTGCTATTAAACAATAATTAAACACAAACCATATATTGTAGATCAAGTCTATCATAGTTGTTGCTATTAAACACTAACCATATATTGTAGATCAAGTTTGTTATAGTTGTTGCTATTAAACACTAACCATATATTGTAGATCAAGTCTGTCATAGTTGTAGCCATTAAACATTAATTAAAAACTGACCATATATTGTAGATCAAGTCTGTCATAGTGGTTGTTATTAAATGATATTTAAAGACCACCCATATATTGTATATCAAGTCTTTCATAGTTCTTGCTATTAAACAGTAATTAAAGACTGACGATGTATTGTAGATCAAGTCTGCCAAGATTTAAGAAATATTGAATATTCTATAGAGAGTAAATGTTACATTTTTCTATTAACATGAGATAACTTTAGAATTTCTTGTGACTCCCTATCGATTTTTTTATTAGGTTTTTTTTGCACATTTTTTTATAATAAAGGATTTGTGGTTGTTATGTCATTCATGTAAGGTAGATTGGTCTTGTGTTTATACCTGGATACTCTGACCAACCTCGCTATTTGATTCATATTATAAGTTACGTTACCAATATATAGTGGTTTTAAAACTAAGTCATCTGACCAGGAAACAAAAGAAGCCTTCTGGGATTTAATTATGAACTCTCACATTCACCTTTGTTCATGAACTGTTGATCTGCAATCTCCTTTTGTTTAATTTTTAGCCAGTTTTGTGCAGTTTTCTATACTTACTTATAATTTTGCATCTTGAAGTACTTCTGTTTTATCATTTTTACCTTTTTTTTATTCCATATATTTTATTATGATGAATGTTTTTATGTTTCATTCGATATTATTATCCTCACTAGTTTCATTTTTCTTAAACCCTGACTTAGAAATTGTGATGCTGTTTTGTCAGTTTGTTCACTGAAATTCCTGTGTTTTAAATTGTTCTTTCTTAACAAATTTGGCAAGGTCACCACAAAAAGTGAATATTAAATAGAGCATAGTTGTCACAAATAAAAGTTAAAATTCATATTTACTAACAATTATTTAAGTTTCATATTAATCTTTTATTACTTTTTTACAGCTTAAAACATCCTTGGGGAAAGGCAGAGCCTTCATTAGGTTCTGTTTGATGCACAAATGTCTGGCAGATACTATACAACATTGCTGTTTGAATGGAGCTGTAACCAGGTTTTTGATTTAGTTTATGAAATTATACTTGAAAGAATAATGAAAATCCTTGTTATATAATATTAATGTATATTAATTATTTTCATTTATTAAATAACTGCAGTGTAAGAAACATAATGATAAAGTTTAAATTAAAAAGTGTGATTAAACATAAAAGTAGAAATTAATTATATTTTTTATGTAACTTTTGCGATACAAAGTGTTTTTAACATAGTGCCATGAAATCTTCTGGTATAACACGCTATGATACCATGTGTTCCTAACATAGTACCTTAACATTTTGTGGTATTACACTTTATGAAACTCCAGCATAACTGGTCTGAATGCTACTCTCAACTAAGCAATGGATCTATAAATCCTTCACGTTTAACGACAAAGAATAGAATACATTTATTACATGCATACTTTATTAAAAAAATAGAGAAAAACTTGATTTTGTTACAGTATGAAAGTCCCTTTAATTACACAGCTGTGATTATACTGCATACTTTGGCCCTAAATTGTACTAATTTAGTGTCTGCTAAGCACCATCTTATGTGTTCATTAGATTTAATTAACCCAAATAGCAATTATTCCATACTTTACAAGTAAGTACAGGTACAAACTTTCCAAATCACACATGCTGTTTCACTAACTGTGTGTGAATTGATTGCTTTATGACAAACATTACTTTTTTATAGTAGATTTCAAAGACCAAGAAATTCTTGTTTTGTAAGTTGATTATTTTTTTTCAGGAGAAAGTAGGATAATAAATATGAAAAATAAGTACAGTTATGTGAGTAGGAAGTGTTTGTCGACGTGGTCATGAAAGCTGTCAATTCCAGTTGAAGACTGGTCTGACAATAGGCAATGAAAATGTTGGGCCACCCTATAAAATATTCCTGATCATGTGATGTTTACTAATTTTTCACATTTATTATCTTTAGTCTTTACACTTTCCAATCCTGTAGTTTACTTGGTGATAGTTCTTTCATCATGACTACATTTTTTTAACAATTCCACAAAATGACAGAAAGATGATTTGGGAATAAACTCACCTGTCTCTGTGATTCATCTTGTTTTAACAAAACTGATTAATGTTAGGGGATACTATCTTGTAGTGCTGTTATTGATTAGAGCAGTTGGTACTATGTGATGAAAATTTTATCATCATGATACAGAGTTACTTTTAACTTGCTTAATATACGAGTCCTCCACACAAAAATAACTTTAACAACAAATTATAGGTTATGGTCCTCCACTACTTCTATCCTTTACATATAGGTAAAATATTACACCAAAGTAAAAGGACAACATTATCAAAGCTTAAATATTGACATCTTCAGATACACAGCCAAGATACTAATATAGAGCTGTGACATCAGACATAGCTAAATATCAAGTGTAGAACAGTGACATAAGTCCTCTGGAGCACAACCAAGATACCAATGTAGAACTGTGACATCAGATCTCTGGAGTGCAGCCATGTTTAGAGCAGTGACATGCGATCTATGGAGCACAACCAAATGTCACATGTTGAGCTGTGACATCAAATTGTAGTTAATAATTCCATTTTACTGCTGCCATGTAGTAAAACACTAAAATGTCTAACCAGACAGAAACTCTCTGTATTAAATAATTATACTAAATAACATGTAACAACTAGCCTAAAGATTGACTCGTTTAATACTTTACAAGTATGTGAAATATAATTGTCAACTGATAACTTCCAAAGAAGGGAAACTATATTTAAACAAACTTACGCTCATTTTGGATTGTCAGACCAATCATCTAAATTTGGTTGTAGAAAGCAAGTGAGGTGGTTGTATGAGTAAACATTGTAGTTATCTACTAACAGTTTTATTTTCATGTAACATCTGAATTTGTGATGTTATTCATAGATAAAATTAAGAAATGAAAGGAAACTATTGTTACAAGTATTTTAATTATGAATGCCTTTTTTTGTTGTTCTTGTTTGATGTTTTTGGTTTCATTGATCAGCTTGATGAATATTTAAGTGTCTGAGGGTAGAAATATGATTGGCAGCCCCAAATATTTTTCAGATTTGCCTGTGACACACTCATGTGCTTGCAAAATTGAACTTTTTTGTATCATAGTTTTTAAACTGAATTTTATACAATGTGAGAAAATGTTTTTTGTTTTTTTTATTTTAGTGATTGGTATCAGGAAAGGTCCATTCTTCTTCAGTTTGACCAAAGCTCAGAATTAGTTTCTGTCCTTTATGATCTTCATGATGTCCACTTTGACCTGTCACCAAGAGGTCATGACCTGGATGTATCATGGCCAACATTTTCAAGGTAATCTTTACTGTTTATAAGGTAATTATTCTAATGTATTGTAAAATGTACTTGAAACACAAGTACAGATAAAATGAAATTTTTGTAATATTTGGAATAGGGGAAAATTTTAAGTTTTGTGAAATCCAAATGTGATCTTTATATTGAAAACAATTTAATCATTATTTGTTTTCTTCTTCCTAAGCAGTATACGTATTCAGAGATACAGAAACAAAAGAACATCAATGGCTGTTGAACTGTTATGTTCTTTTGTTTTAATGTGTTTCAGCTATAGGAAAATTTTACTGTTGAACTGTTACATTCTTTTCTCTTAATGTGTTTCAGCTACACTATATTTTACTGTTGAACTGTAATGTTCTTTTCTTTTAATGTTTCAGCTACAGTATATTTTACTGTTGAACTGTTACATTCTTTTCTTTTAATGTGTTTCAGCTATAGGAAAATTTTACTGTTGGACTGTAATGTTCTTTTCTTTTAATGTGTTTCAGCTACAGTATATTTTACTGTTGAACTGTTACATTCTTTTCTTTTAATGTGTTTCAGCTATAGGAAAATTTTACTGTTGGACTGTAATGTTCTTTTCTTTTAATGTGTTTCAGCTATAGGAAAATTTTACTGTTGGACTGTAATGTTCTTTTCTTTTAATGTGTTTCAGCTACAGTATATTTTACTGTTGGACTGTAATGTTCTTTTCTTTTAATGTGTTTCAGCTACAGTATATTTAACTGCTGCAGGAAAGGGCTAAAAGTTCAAATGATAGTTTTTTATGGAATAAAAAGTTTCAGCTTAATGTAAGCCCAGTATTCCAATTAGTACCTAAATCCTTATTAAATATTTAAACATTTCATGAATAAATTGCTTAGTGAAAGTTTTATTGCTCATGGTTCTGCATATCAACAGAAAAATTGAACATCAGAAAAGAAACCCAACAACTCTCACTTTCTGAAAGCACTTGCTTTATTGAGCCTCTTTTCTCATGCTAAAAGTTTTAGTCTTGTATTGGAAATGGTGTTTATAAATTATACTGGGGGTGAGAATGTTATTGGAATATCCAGGATGAATAAAGATGAAATTCAAGGGAAGAAAGAGTGCTGTTGCTGTCTTTTTCAGAAAGTGGTAGACAATGTGGCAAAACATAAGATTTACATTGAAGGTCATTAGGAGAGTTGACACTATTAGAAGATGGACTAGGTGTTTTGATGAAGGAAGATTTACATTAAAGGTCATTAGGAGAGTTGACACTGTTAGATGATGGACTTGGTGTTTTGATGAAGGAAGATTTACATTAAAGGTCATTAGGAGAGTTGACACTTTTAGAAGAAGGACTAGGTGTTTTGATGAAGGAAGATTTACATTCAAGGTCATTAGGAGAATTGACACTGTTAGAAGAAGAACCAAGGTGTTTTGATGAAGGAAGATTTACATTAAAGGTCATTAGGAGAGTTGACACTGTTAGATGATGGACTTAGTGTTTTGATGAAGGAAGATTTACATTAAAGGTCATTAGGAGAGTTGACACTGTTAGATGATGGATCAAGGTGTTTTGATGAAGGAAGCTTTGCAGGAGAAGTGAAGGAGCATTGATGAAGATTGCAGTTAGCTTTTATATGCGGAAACATCTGTTAGCTGAGTTCTTGCACAGATCTTAAAATATACCGTTGATAAACGGAAACATTGGCACATGTAGATTTGTAGATCTTGAAAGTTGAGTTGTTCAAAATTTGAAAATAGAGTTGATAACTGGACCAATTGTTGGTTGAGATGTTGCAAAGGGAATTTTTGCTGAAGCTTTTTGCCAGACACTAATCATAGCAGAACCGTCTGGAAAATGATCTATAGGAAATAGTACAGCTTATAAAATGAGTCAGATCAATGTAGGCTGGTAAGGCAGTCACTGATTGGCATGTTTTTAGGCCAATCAGGAAATGTCACAGACCTACTGAAGGATGTGTAGATTGTATAGGAATTCTTTTTGGCAGCAAAGAACAGGTTTATGTGTTTAAATAAAGTTGGCTTCCAAAATATAGAGATTAAAGGTTGACAGACCATTTGCAATAATTTTAAACCTGCAATCCGTGTAGTTGTCAGCACAAGTCGGGTTCACTAGTAAATGCTGGCCAATCGCTGATTCACATTTTGGTGGTAGAACTTTTGTTTTACAGGAGCGACATGGTAAATTATTTTCTTTCACGCTCTTATTTCTTATGGATGTGGGTACATGTTGTTTAATTCTATCCAGCAGTCATTGTGAAGTGCGACCTACATAACGACATTCGCAGTGGCATGAGAATTTATAAATAACCATACTTTTCTGTGTGGTAGGTATCGCATCTTTGTGTGTTGCAGGCAACAGCTTACGTGTGGAATAAGCACAGTAGGGGTTCACTGCAGGAAAACATTTATTAATGGCTATTTTAAATTGTTTTTCAAATTTTGTTGAAATGTTACCAATCCATTGTAGTTTTAGGTAAACAGGACACTTGTTAGGTCCAAATTTTGGGGAAGTTAAGAAGCTCACAGTCTTCCTTGAAGTAATTTGATTGATGATGTTTTCTGGATACCCATTTTCTAGTTTTAATTGTCTTCAATTCGAAATCTAGTTTAGATTTTGAACATTTAACTTGAGCCCGATGGACTAAAGTAGCAATAAGGTTTGTTTTGCGAATTTTAGGACTGAAAGAATTCCATCGTGTGTACTGTCCTGTAAAGATAGGTTTTCTGTATATACTGGTGAGAAAATGAAAGTCATCTTTTTCAACTAAGACGTCTCGGAACGGTAAAGAGTTATGTTGTTCCTTTTCAAAAGTCAATTTGAGAGCCGAGTGCAACGAGTGTAGGTCTTGTAAGAAACACTCACATTCCTGTTCTGTTTTAAATATGGCAAATGTGTTGTCTACATAGCAAAAGTAAACAGCAGGTCTGTTAACTTTGTTGAATAGTTCTTTTTCATGGAAACCAATGAAAATATTGGCTAAGGCAGCTCCAAGAGGAGAACCCATGGTTTTTTTAACCCATTTTTTTAACCCATGTTAAAATACTTTTAACATAGAGAACAGTGTGTATAACTCTACATATTCATTTATCTATGTTTTGAGTCTTAAAAACAAGTTTGAATGTTGTTAGTTGTGAAAGTAGATGTTGGTGGTAAAGTGGGATTTGGGTAGGGTTTGTTAGCAGAACCAAAAGAAGTACTGGGAGGATTGCTGTGAGAAGGTGAAGTTGTTGGATGGGAACAGTGAGCAGCAGAGGTGCTAGAATTTGAAATGTCTGTAGTGGTCAGGTTGGGAAGGAGTTTGGATAAGGAATGTTAGAACTGTTAGTAAAATAACTAAGAGAGATGGTTACGATAGCTTGGAAGAGGAAGCCAAGACTGTCAGAAATAAAGTATTTAAAGTTTGGAATCAAGGTAGAGATACCAGAGAAGTTGAGTGAAGTCCTTCATATGTGAGAAAACTAGTGAGAGGTATTAGGTTTGTATGGTTAATGAAGGCAATTTAGGAGTTGGTTTTGCAAAGGTTAAAGTAAGTTTGTTAAAATGATGAATTTTATTGTAGATTTGTGTAAACAGTGTGTTTTACAAGTTGAAAAACATATAGCAAGTTTAATATATGGTCTGAGGCTAAAACTATGTGCTATGGTGTTTACCAGTTTTGAAAATTAGTCCTCAGTAGACGTAAAAATCTTTTTTAGATCATTAGTGCCTAAATGAATTATGAAAAACCAAAATCATTCAGAAAGGGAAATGGTCATGGCTATGGTACCATTTTTTCTAGCTCCATTGATGGATTTGGAGTGTTCATTAAAAAATATGTAAACACTTGATCATAGCATCACACAAAATACCATAATTTGGAAATAAAAGGATATACTAAGCCGAGATTCTCAGTTTGCCCCTGATTAAAAAACGGTTCATCTTTGGAAATTGCTTTGTGTATAGGGTTTTGTATTTTTGTCTTGAATTGATATCTACTAGATGAGTGTACACAGGTTAGTGCTGCTGATTGTGATATTGTCGATCTTGGTTTTAAAATCAAAATAATTCTTCTTCTTAACATTAGTAACTTTTGCATACATACTCACTTCTTCATGTTGTATCCTGTTATAACCAAAATAATCAAATCTGATGGTTAATGATGCCTAATCTGTATTTGCTTATGTCACAAGGTTGCTACTGCTTGTTCGTAAGATACGAGTTTTTAAAGTATACATTCATGTATGCTCATTTTTTAGACAAAATGCTAATGTAGTGTCTAAATTAACATTTGAATTATTGTGAAATGTATACAGTTAAATTGGGTTTTCTTTCATTTTTAGGAAAATTTTTGGTGTGTCACATCCCACATCTTGGCGTCCTCCAAGCCGTAGCACTAGTATTTCTAGTCTTACTAGTTTTGTTTCACAAGTAAGTACAGTATTTAAAATTTACAAGATTATAAGGAAATGTTTAAAACAATTACACTGGTTATCAAGTTGATGTATGTTCTGCACTTGTCCCAGTTTTTCAGTCAGCTTATTCTTGTTCTATTTTCATAGAATGATTCAGTTTTAACCTCAAGTCCTTACAACGAACACCCAGTTGATGTGTGTAGTATAGAACAGTTGAAGCTAGAACTTTCTCGTTCTGAAGCAACCAAATCGGAGCTAATTACACAGGTAGAAGAGCTGACCAACAAAGAGGAAAACTTGCAGTTAACTTTGGCAAGACAACAACAGAAGGCTGAACAGGTAAGGTTAAAGCAATGAAAATTAAGTTTGAAATTTTTCGTGAAGTTTCTGATTTTGTTAAAGCTACATGTTATAAAATTTAATATTCATAACATTAATATGTGTTGATGTGAATATTTGGTTGTAAAAACTATATTTACGTGCTTGGTAAAGAGATATTAGATAAATGAAAGTCAGAATTTACATAGAAAAATTACATAAGCTACTTTAGCCATTTTATCAAGACAGTTTGACTTTGATCATATAAATGTTTCATTGTAATAGTTTTTGTGTCTCAGAAATCAAATACAATCTACATTTGTAATGTTCTTTTAGACTTATAATCCGTTTGAAACTAGAGGGATGAATCTGATCCAAATTTATAGTGATTAAATATATATATATATATAGATAGATATAGATATTAATGTCACAGCTGAGAAATCAAGCTTTTTTCCAGATGAGAGACATCTTGCATTTTTACTGGATATTAAAGAAAAATGATTGATTGTGTAAAAATATACACACACTGTTCCTTACTTTAAATATTTTTCTTTTAACCCTATATGTACAATAGGGTTGAAGTGTATGTCAATAATCTTGGCATCAAAATGTAGTTTATAATTCAAATTTTTATATTGCCTAAGCATAAATTTCAATAGGAAATATTTAAATAAATTCTCAATATTTGTTTCTCTGTGTCATGTGTTGAACGTGTGCTATGAATTCTCCCTTATATGTTTTCTGTCTTCCCTATTAAAACTAATTAGAAACACAAACTATAACCAGAATATAAAATTTGAACCTTCAACCTTCTTGTTGTGCTGAGATATCAATGTATTGGTCAAACACCTCCCATCATATCAATGTATTGGTCAAATTCATCAGTGAAAAATCTTCCATCATATCAATGTAGTGATTAAATCCACCAGTGAAACACATCCCATTATATTAATTATTGGTCAAATCCACCAGTCAAAAAGCATTCCATTGTATCATTGTAGTGGTCAGATCCACTGGTGAAACACCTTCCATTGTATCAGTGTAGTGATCAAATCCACCAGTGAAACACCTTCCATCGTATTATAGCTTTAAAAGTGGATCCTAACCACGTGGTCTTATTTTTATGATAGAATGCTTATAACCAATGGGAAGAACATTTTTTTCCCATACAAAAATCTTATTAAGGACTGCTAGTTGTTCTTTCTAGTGGTTTTTTGCTTCACAAATATGCTCGTTCTGGACCATTCACTCATGGACTAACATGACTAAAACAGACATAGATTGTTATCCATCTCTGATGCTCCACAGCATTGAGACTCTTCCTACAGTGGACCTGATGTACAATTCCAGATGCTGCCAGGTTTTGGTTGAACGACTCCGTTGATATGGTAGCTCTGCTTTTCAAAATAGAGTATCAAGGTCACACTTTGCACTGTCCAGTGATGCAGTACTCTGGACTCTCTAATGCATTTTCCCCTCCTTTCTTCTAGTGGAGTATGTGAGTCTTTTTCTATTTACCAGTTCCTAGCCACTGAGGTGGTGGACTATGGAGGCCTGTTCTCCTGAGTGATGAGTCATACCATTCAGTTGAGAGTAGGGTGGTGACATTCTGCAGGTTTTGATGGTACTTAGCACTTCCTACTGCAGACCTAAACATCAGTTTCACATATCTTGAGGTTTTGGTTGTAGCTATATGCTGTATTACTGTTTAAATATCTGACCAATTGCTTTTTCCTACCATGGCATTTCTCCCACTTACTATCCTCTGGAGGTACATTCCCTGTGGGTTGGAGATGGTTGGTGGCGTGATGCCCTTACTACTGCGGACCTGATGTACAATTCCAGATGCTGTCAGATTTTGGTTGAAGCACTCTTTCATGTCACAACTATATATATAACCAACATCCAGGAAGATGCACCCCATTTGTGGTCCCTCTTCCTGGATGTTGGTTCCCAGCAGATCTGGTGTTGGTTGGTGTTGGATGCAGCACACGTTTTCCCGCTTGTACATGGCCAGGTATCCTCCTTCTACCACGGACTGGAGATGTCATCCAACTGGGGTTCTCCACCTTCCTACTGATCATGATGTCAGTTCCTGCAGATTTTGTGTTGATTGTGTTTGAAATGCATACAAGTGGAGATGAATTTTGGTACGGAAACCAATCTTCCCTACCAATTCCACTTTCGAGGTGAAGAGGTAGGTGATGCTCTACCTACTGTGGCTCTGATGTACTGTTCCAGATACTGCGTGGTGTTGGATGAGGTTGAACTACCACTACGGTCTGTTGCACCCTAGCCACTTGACACCCAAGGGTCCCATTAATCGGTCATACATATTCTGGGATTCCTTCATGTTTTTTTGCCATTTATGTTTGTGACACGGTCATAAAAGAGCAAAGGGTGTACCTGGATCAGATGTGGTGCATTCTCTCACTAAGGTGTGATGTTTTCTTTTTGGTTCCACACCTCCTGGTCTCTCTTTGGGCACTTTTTAAAGGGGAACAATTTTTTCACCAGCCCTTCACCAGTTCAATGTGGGATTCTAGTTATTTTGTGGGTGAAGGTAAGATATTGTGTCGGAAGTTAGCAGTTTCCTACACTGAAAATGTATTTCCAAGAGATACTTACCTCCTATTACATTTCCCATGCAGCCTCTTCACTCCTGGTGATATATGGTGTAGGTCTTCTGACCAATCTTGAAGAGATTCACAAGTGCAAATGTGAAGAAGCTGCTGCTTATGATAGGGGTTGTGTTGTGCTCCTATTGGGCTGCTGCATGGTCATTTGCATGTGGATAAGCAGGAGGTGGAAGGCTAGTGGCGAGTTTTGAAAATTTGCACTGATAGAGGGTAGTACTAATAGAGAAAAGCTATTTTGTGAAAGGCGATAAGTATCTATCAGAAATACATTTTCAGTGTAGGAAAATGCTAACTTTTATTACCCTAATTCACTGGTATTAAGTTAAAAATGTCATGTCTTGTTTAGACAGTTTGAACATGGCTGCATTATTTTTTGGGGAAAACTGATTCCCCCTTCAGTGATGCATCATGCCATGCCATATGCTTTTTCTTGTAGTGGGTTGACATAAATAACATCCAGAACTGTTCATGGTAAGCTTAAACACCCTACTTAGATCCAAATAAACTGTTACAGGGTGTTTTGAATCAGAAGAAGAAAACTCTGAAATGTCTTTACACTTGGTAATAGCAGTAATAGTCTACTTCATCAGATGTGTTCTAGTGGTTGGTGGCAAGCATAAGTAACAGAGTTGTAAGTTTATTACAAATTTAGTACAACTGGGCCCCCAGTATCAAAGCATAACCCACTTCTTCTTTTTTTTCTGAAGCATACTGTCCAAATAATTTTGGTAAGGTGGTTATGAACATTTGTCTGTACATTTATTTGTTTGCTTGATAAACATTGGTTGGATATAAAATCAAATTATATTAGATATTTTTTGTACAGGAAAGGCAACATCTGCTGAGAGAAGTTAAGAACTTAAAGAAACACAATATTCAAATTACTGAAGAGTTGAAACAAAACTGTGAAGAATGGAGTAAAAAGGAACAAGAGTTTAAACAAAATTGTGAAGAATGGAACCAGAAAGAACAAGAATTTAAAGAACAAAAAGAACAATGGAATCATAAAGAACAAGAGTTTAAACTGCACTGTGAAGAATGGAACCAGAAAGAACAAGAGTTTAAACTGCACTGCGAAGAATGCAACCAGAAAGAACAAGAGTTTAAACAGCACTGCGAAGAATGGAACCAGAAAGAACAAGAATTTAAACAGCACTGTGAAGAATGGAATCAGAAAGAGCTAGAGCTTAAAGAACAATTAACAGATGCAAGAAACCTTGTCAACAAATACTCTCAGCAGGTGGAGTTACTAATGGTTCAACAGGAGAATAAAGATAAATGTACAGAAAAAAATTATATGGATATGAAAATTCAAATTACTAATTTAGAAAAGGAAGTTTTGGCTATGAAACAAAAATCTAGTGAGATTGAAGAAGAATTAGACAAAGAAAGAGCACTTAAACAGGAGTTCCGTGAAACTGTATCTTCTCTTGAGTTAGAAGTTGAAAGTCTGGAAATGAAGCAAAAAGAATTAACTGAAGATTTGGACAAGCAGCTGAAAGAAAATGAAGATAAGTCCAATTTATTGGAACAACAATCAGAAAAGTTAAAAATACTGGCAGAGAAACTGCAAATGAAAGAAAACACTATTCAGAAATTTGAAAGTGCCAAAAATGAACTAAGTGAAAGGGTTCAAAGTGTATTGAATTCAAATGATCGTATGAGAAACCTAATGGAGGAAGTTGGAAAGGACAACACAGAATTAAAAGCACAATTAGCTTCTGAAAAGAAAAAAAACAGAGCTAAAATGCACGAACTGGAAAATATTGAACGGACAAAACATGAATTAGAAAGTGATATTTTATCATTAAAGTCTAAACTTAAAAGTACACAAGAACTCTTAGAAATAAAAGATGATGAATTAATAAGATCCAAGTCATCAGTTAGAGAACTGGAAGTTCGATTGAAATGTCTTTCCGAACAGTCTACAGATACTCAGGTTTCTTCACTTGTGGAGAAACTCTCTGATGTTGAAGAAATGAACCGCAAGCTTAGGGATGACTTAAAGTTACTTGGTATTGATCTTAAGCGTAATATTGATGGCCATTTACAAGAGAAGATGCTTCTCACACAGCAGATCTCAGAATTAGAAAAGCAAAAGAAAGACTTAGCACTTGAACTGCAAAACAAAAACAAAAACTTTTCAGAAAAAGAAGGTAATTTACATAAAATATTACAGAATGCCCCTTATTTAGAAAGTCTTGTAGAAGAGCAAGAAAATATGATTGATAAGATTCACAAGAGTGTTACTGCCTCTCTTCAGAAACATCAGAGACTTTGTAGGCAGTTGAATATTGTACTAGAAGTGCTACACTTAAAGGATATTATTGAAGATAATGAAGGTCAGAGCTCTTTATCATCTACAATTTCTTTAAAGCCTTTTGCAGTAATGGAGGATAGATGTCTAATACCAAATGATAAAATGTGTGACGAGAAAATGTTAGATGACAGATTTTTACCCGTCATTTATACTCTCAAGCGAACTATGGCAAAGCTAGAATTCCTAGTGAATCGAAACGATGTGCTTCAACAAGAATTAGAAAAGTCTTGTAACTTGAACAACAAGCTAATTACAGCAGTAAAAGAGCATCAGAGAAAAATACGAGGTGTTTCCTATGAACTTGATGCCACTGAAAATGTTGTTTCAGGCATTAAAAAGGAGCATGGTAAACTGCGAACTGCTGAAGCTATTCTTAAGTATGAACTTCAAGAAAAACGTAAACTTGTGGGAAAATTACGGCAGCAGCTTCAAGCAACCAGAGAAGATTGGAATCGTGTGAGAATTAAGAACTGTGAATCAGAAACAGAATGGCATAGTCTTCGTGAGGAATTTGCAAAGAGACATAAACAGACAAGTGAAGAAAGTGGATTTGTTGAAGATAGCCGGAATTCTGACAATAGTACACCATCAACTGAAGTACAGACATCAGATAAAGAATATCTCGTTTCTTTATCCTCATCTGTTGGTAGTGCATCTATGACATCCCCTCATAGTAGTCTTGAAGCTGATCTGTCTGTTCCAACTTCTCCAGTTGATGGAGCTATAGGTGGTGAGGAGTTGTTACCCAAAGATGAATCTGGCCAGACAAAAAGCAGGTTAGATGTTTTGGAAGAGCAGTGTCAACTGTTATATGTAAGTCTTGTGCAAAGTTCAAAGAGGAATGAGTATTTGAAAGAAAAGTTAGATGCCATTCTAGGAAATTCAGAGACAGAGTCTGTACCATCTGTGAATAGTGATACAGGATGTGGGACAACAAAATCTGAAATGGTGGCTATTCCAGATGATCCTAATTTAAATATAAAAGAGAATCTGCCAGATATTTCTTGCAGTGTCTTAATGATAGAACAAGTTGTTAGTGGTGATGAAGTAGACACGAAAAGTGAAACCTCAGTCATCACTGATAAAGCTAGTGGTATTGAGCAAGTTTTCCATCAACAAAATATAACTTTACCAGAAACTGATGAGGTTAGTGCATGCAACGCAGAAGAGAAATCTCCGGGATTATTATATGATGATGAATTACCTGCCGTAGAAAACTACCAAGAATATATAGTAATTAATACAAGAAAGAATGCTTTACAGGACCTGGTACGTCGCTTGAAGAGTGATAAAGCTCTTCATGAAGCCCGAGAAGCTGACCTTAAAGCTCAAGTAGAACTCCTACAAGTTTCTAAAAAGGAACTGGAAAAGAAACTAGAATTATTTGAACAAGAAGAGAATGCTGTTTCTTGTAAGGGATCAGATTTCAGGTTAGCAAATAAAGAGATTAGAAGCAAGCAACTTTCTTACAAAAGTTTTATTAGAGTCTCTATGAATCAAACACATATAAGATGTATTCTTGTTCCATTTAATAATGTGTTACTTAATTTTGTTTTCTTTGACGTATGATTAAGAAATTTCTTCTTTTATTGGAATTCTCTAGCAGTTCAAAATTTGGTATTTTACTCTTGGGGAGTGTTATGTCAATGAACAATATTATTCTCTAACTTAGTAATCATTTTTGCAGTATTTTCTTTTAAATGTAAACTTTGATTTTGTCTTATTTGTACTGAAGTTTAAATAATTTGTATAAATTTGTTTCAAGTTTATAACTATATGTGCAGGAAACAAGCAGAATTTGTATTTCAACAAGAAGTAGACAGCTTTAAAGACAAGGCTAGTGTGCTAGGAAATGAAAGAACACAACTAAATTTGAAGATTGCTGACCTTGAGCAACAAGTATTGGAAAGAGATAATACTGTTGAAATCCTAAACAACAAACTAAAGGAGTTGAATGAAGAGCTGGAAAGTGTACGAGGAACCCTAGAACATGAGGTATCCACACTGCGATTTCAGCTGAGCACAGAAGCTTTGAAGTATGAACAGACACAGAAGGTTGGTCATATCAGTGAACTTTATTACATGATGAACTGCACAGTAACCAACTTGATGAGAGTATTAGCTTATAACTTGTAACTTCAAGTATAAAACATACAAAATTTACTAGAACATTTAGTAGCTTATTTCCTTTTAAACATAATAATTTTCAGTATCTGTGAAAAACTAGGAAGCTTGTGAAACCTTGTTCCTGCTAGAACAAGTTCTGTAATAATTTAAATCAAAATTCTTCACTTTGCAATAAAAAAACCACAATTAAAATAAATGTAAGAGAAATTGTTTTTTATTATTACTTTTCTTAACTTTTAATTATATTTATAATATCTTTGGTTCTAGCATTACTCAGAGCAGGAAACAGAGATATTAGAGATGAAGAAAAATATGAATAGTCAAGAGCAACTGATTCTCTCTCTAGAAGAAGCATTAACAGGAATAAAGGAAGAGCGAGAAATTGAAAAAGAACGACAGTGGGAAGAGGTATGTTACAAGTATAAAGTTGTTTGGTTTAAGATTCCACTCTTTCTTCCAAGAAATTTTCTTTTCTAAAACTGATATAAAGATTTCTGTTAGATATATATTATTATTAATAACAAGTCGTACATCTTAGAAATTTTACATTTCAAACTCATTGATAATAGGCATAATATACTTAATTTAGTAACTGCAAGCTATAGTACCTGGCTTAGATATTGATGTTTCACACAATAATATACTATAATTAGTTTTAACTGATATTTCTACCTTACTGATAGTAAAGTTAATATACCTTACTTATTACCTGATATTTCACACTTAGTGGTAATAGTCATTAAATACCTAACTTAGTAACCAATATTTCTTTCCTAACCATCTAACCTTTATTTCCTGAGGCTTTGGTTTATACACTAAACAGCTTCTAAATGTACCACATTATCTAACCTTCCCAAAGCTTTGGTTTACACACTGAATAACTTCTAAATGAATTGGGCTATCTGTCCTTTACTTCCTGAAGCTTTGGTTCACACCCTAAGTTGTATCTAAATGAACTGTGTGATCTAACCTTTCTGATTCTTTGGTTTACACACCAAACACTTCTAAATGAACCAAACCATCTAACCTTCTTGAGGCTCTGGTTTGCACACTAAACACTTCTAAATGAACAGTACCATCTAACCTTCCTGAGGCTCTGGTTTACACACTAAACACTTCTAAATGAACAGTACCATCTAACCTTCCTGAGGCTCTGGTTTACACACTAAACACTTCTAAATGAACAGTACCATCTAACCTTCCTGAGGCTTTGGTTTACACACAAAACACTTCTAACAGATCAATACCATCTATTCTTTGTTTCCCGAGTCTTAGGTTTACACACTGAACAACTTCTAGACAAATCTGAAAGTTTTTTTTTGTGTGTGTGGGTATAAAGTTGGAATTATAAAATGAGCAAGTATTTGAGAAATTCAGAAATATTAGACTTAAGTACAATGATGGCAAATATGAATTACTATTTTTTCAGTTGGAGGAGCTCAGTATTACATTGTCTACAAGAGAAGAAGAATGTATAACATTGAATGAGGAAGTGAGAAAGGTAGGTTATTAATGTATGTTTTATGATGTCACAACTACATTTATTTAAGTAAAACACAGAAGTAGCTGTTTAGCACTTGGGATTGTACTTTGTATCATGTGTAAATAAAAAGAACTGTTGTAAGAAGTTGTATTGTGTGTTAGATATTTAATAAGAAAACGTTTTTTGTAAATGTGTATTAAAAATAGGAAAATATTATTGACTTATTCTAAAAATTAATATCTTTTTTGCATGGAAATTGAAGTATAGTTGTTTTTTTTTTCTTGCAGCTAACGAAAGAACTTGATGATGAAAAGGAGACTTCAGAGATTCTTCGGTCAAAACTAGAAGAACAAAGGGCACAAAATCAAGATCTTGTTTTTAGACTCGAAACTGAACTTGTTCAATTGAGAGGGGATAATGAGGTTTTGAAAAAGAAACTGATTCAATTAATTAAGTAAGTTCATGAACTCAACAGCTTTAAAATCTTCTTTCTATTAAAAATCAAGGTTAAAGTAATTTGCTGATAGGTACTTTATAAACCAGTTAATTCTGCTTTCTGTGTCTTCCTTACTGGTGAGTTGCTGAATCTCTTTCCTGTCCAAAAAGTTAGAAGGCAAAGTAATTTGTTACGAGATGTACATTGTAACTTGGATAATTCTACTTTTTATGAGTTTTATGTTACTGTTGAGTTATTCATTGACATTGAATGGAAAACTTTAAGGATTAACATCAAATATAACGTAATTATCTTCCAGAGGTGTTGAATTTAATCAGAGGCAGTGACAATGTTATCTTTATTTATAGCTCTGTACTACAGAACTTACATGAGATTTGCACTGTAGGTATTGAAAAATGGTCTACTCTAGGCCATAGAGAGATTTAACTTGAGATGGTTTTTGTAATATTTTAGAGAAAAAGACGCACTGTGGAAGAAAGCCCAGCAGTTGTCACACTTACAACGTGTCCAAGCAACAGATCGATGGATGGCAGATCAGGAAGTGCCAAGCTGTTTAGGATGTAAAACAGTTTTCTCTATCATCGTGAGGAAGGTATATTACATTAGTGAAGCACAAATAATTTGTGATATTATTTATGAATAGGGTATTTTAATAGTTCGAAGTATTTTACAAAATTAATTGTATTGTGGTGAAGTTTTTATACTAACTTTCTGTAGTAAATACTCAGTTCATACACTTGAGATATAGTTGTGAGATGAAGGTATATGTGTATAATTTCAAAAATCCCAAATTGATCTAGTTTTAAAAATTATAGTACTATTAATGCAGTACACTGTTCCTAGATACAAGCATATAGTGTTTCTGTAATTTGTATGAAGAAGACTTTGTATTATCTTTAACAAGGATCAGTTTGCAGGAGTTAAATTGTTTTAAAAGAAATAACCACACAATAATTTAGAATTGTAATTTTCATATAAAATTTTGTTTTCTACAGCATTATTGTCAACCCTATGATTGTATTTTTACCTACAAGTTTGTTTGTTTTTACAGTGTCATTGTTGACTCTGAGGTTATATTTCTACCTATAAGGTTGTAGTTTCTACTAAATCATTGTTGCCTTTGTGGTAATATTTTTATTTATCAGATTTTGTTTCACCTTTAACAGCACCACTGTCGTCTTTGTGGTCGTATTTTTTGTCATGGCTGTGTAAACAATTGGATGATGACAACAGCAAGCAGGTAATATATTTTAATTGTTCTATAATCATACAGTAATTTCTGTATATATCTACGACATACATGTTATTCAGATTTGTGAAATGTATTTGTACTGAGCCAACAGAAGGCCTTACTCCTTAAGTTACTTGGATTTGACAAAACCTCAGGGTAGAGGAATTCTCATAATGCTACAGCAGAAGTTAAGTTTTTATAACTCGCATTTTCATTATAACCAAAAAATAATAATAAGTTGGTGGTGAGTGCTAAAAGTAAGCTAACATTTCAAGATTAAAAAGGTTTGTGCCAGCCAGTTGACTTTTATTTAGTCAGCTGTTGAAATTAGTGACAGTTAACCTTATGAAATTTACCATACCAAATTCAGGATGAGCAATTTGGGTGGCAATTGGAATCAAACCCGAGATCCCCACCCTGAATCACAATAGCTGAATAAACATGAAGTGAAAAACAACTTATAAAGTTGAGATTGTGCAGAGTACAGATAGCCTTTTATGTAGCTTTCTTCTTAGCAACAAACAAAGATAATAGCAATATCTCAGTTAATTTGGATAGTTGAAATAATCAAACCTCAATTTTGTGATGCCTGATTGAATTATAAATATTGGTTAATCAGTTGATGGAATAATTGAAAACTAATGATCAGAAACACTGATTTTGATTAATCACTTAGTTTATGTGAAAGTAATTGATGTAATTGCTGCTCATAGGTTGCTTATGTTGTTAGGATCATTTGTTTATATGTAATATTTACAATCTAATTTTAAGCTTGTCAGACTTTGTTATTAACCCTATTGCTATGGGTATCCTTTACTGTACATGACACAAGGTTTTATTGTCTTACATTCAAAATTTTATTAAACTACATTTTGTATATGTTATACCAATTAGTATAGCATGAAATCTTAGTTAATAATCCATATTTTAATACTATATAAGTTTTAAGTTCTTATAAGGCAATATTTAAAACAAATCTTGAATTTCCCCTAGTGTGACACACATGACACATTTTCTCTAGGTATGTCATTTTCTCAGTTTTATCTACCACCCTTCCAATAACTACAAAATTAAATGTAAATTACTCACTATAAAATTGTCATTGCTCAGACAAACCATAATTTTTATAGCTTTCAGTTTTGTTTGGTTACAGAGCTATCAAATAGAAAATCAGACCCCTCTTACCACACCCACCTATCACATCCTCTCTTTAAGGATTTGTTAATAGTTCACTCTTACGTTTAATTATATATCATTTATAACCAATAGAAAGCCAAGGTTTTCATCTATCAAATGACGTATTGTATTCTGAACAGGTAATTGTCAATTTAGCTTGTAATAGTTTTGTTCCCACGGGAAAAACAAGGACTAGCTTGGATGAATTTGTAATAGCTCTTGTCGCATAGTTAAAAAGCCAGAAAAATTGTGATTGTTAGAAGAAATTGTTTTTGCATGTTATTAGTCTATGTTCTTTGGTGCATTATTTATTCAAATAAAAAGTATTTTGTGCATTACTATCATTAGTATAAAAAATAGGGTTGTCGTCGACAGTACAAAAAAAAAAGACACAAGTAAGTGCTTTATTTCTTGTTTTTCATGTTTATTATTTATTTATTACCATAATAGTAACCAAAATGTAAAAATAGTGATCTCTTTAGGTTAGTTAAGGTAAAATAAATAATAATATAATAAAAATGTTTCACGAGGCACACACACGAGTAGCTCTTGGGTAAGGTAATTCAATAGCATAATGTGAGCTCCACATTTCTCAAGTGATTTACAACTTAAGGGTGTGAATAGTAGTTAGACACAGTTCAAAGGGAAATATAACAAGAAAATTTAATTATATACTGTTAATAGTTTAAAGTTACATAGGATAAACAAATGTAGTTTCATGTTACAATTTGAAGGCATACTAGAAAGGAAAAAGGGCAATTTAGATTTATTTCAATATTTTTGGTGGTTATGAGGTTGGTCAAATTGACCAACCTCGTTTAGAGTTAGGTAGAGAAAATATCAGATAGAATATAAAGTTTATTGAAAAGAAATGTTTAAAATGTATTTAGGAAGTTTAGAGATTATACAAATGAAATTTGAGATGAAGAAAAGTCTTTTTAATCTAACATAAAAATCACTTTGCACATGGACTATTCAAAACAAATACTTGATATAGTCACAGACAAATCTTTTTTTTAGCTTATTTAAAATACTTCACTAAAAATATGACTTTTGTATGTGAAAGACGTATAATGTTTACTGAAAGACTGCCAAATTTTGTGAAGATATAAATACTATATTAAAACTTAGTAGTATCAAATTTTATTTTAATTTATTGGACTTTTTATTTGAATAGTTTCTTGCTTATGTTTGAAAATTAGTAATCATTAATGTTATGTTTGTTTAATTTTTCTAGTCGAAAGGCTCGGGTTTGTAACGAATGCTACATTCAACATCTTCAGTTAGAGTCAGTCGTAAAAAGAAGTTCTCCTTCACCATGCACTGTAGAAGATAATGAAGATGATGTTAATCTCTCTCGATCACCATCTCATTCATTTGTGAACTCTAAACCTACATGTAAATTGAACACAGGTTAGTATCTTGTGTTATTCTGTTATATAATGAAACATATGAGATAAATGTAAAAATCTTGGTAACACTTGATTTCCATCTGTGTTTTTCTTATTGAAATAATAATTTGTAGACATACATTATTTTTTAATAGCAGTCTTTCACCCAAGTAAACTCTAAACTCTGTATACCAGTACAAAAGGTTAAGAATATTATGTTTAAATGATGTTGCCATATCTGGTCATGCTCTGTCTGACGACCACGTATTTTGAGATTGCAAAATGCTATGTCTTAAGACTGTCGTGTCTAAAGCCATACTTTTCCTTACTACATATTTTCTGTATTTTTTGTAATGTACGAGGACAATGATTTCCTAGCACGTATTTAGAGAATCTCGTGCCATAGGTCTTCATAGCATCTGCTTCCAGCTACCTGATAAATATGGAATAGCATGAACACCCATTTCATTCTCAAGTTGTTTGAAGTATATATGGTTAAAAGATATTTCGTAGAAGCAACTTGTGTACAGATGACTTATATTACTTTCCCAAGCACATATCTTTGTTGATTATGTTGCATACTGCCACTGACCTTCTTGTTCATGGATTGTTAAAAGATGCTACACATTACTTACCATGGCTGGGACACTAGCTACAATGGATATCCCTTTCTTGGAAATTCTAAATTTCATTCTGAATAGGTCTTTATGATTTGACGATCAGTTTTCAGTGGTATTATACAACTTATGAAATACCAAACAGTGTCAAAATGTAGTTGTGATAAATGTTGTTCCACTTTATATTTGCTCTGGTTATTACCTGACTTGCTGATTTGAATATTAAAAATAGTTGTGATACAGTATATTCAGCCATTTAGCTATTCATATTAATACAATGTGTCATACTTGTAATGTATACTCTGGAATAACATTAACTCTCTCCAATGTCACTGACATACCTTGATTTTAGCTTTCTCACAGTGGAAACACTTAACCAAGTTGCGTAAAACTTACCAAGTAGTAACTAGTTTTGGCTTTAAAAAACTACAGTTTGATTTAGTTTTTTATAATTTTTAAATGTTGTCAAATTTCTATGTTTGTTGTGAGGCATTTTTTGGAAAATATATAAAAATAATTCCTTATGTCCTAGGATACATTTTTGTTATTGTTTATCAGAAAGTTCCATTTTTTTTTTGTACCCAGTCAGTTACAACATAATTGATTTTCATAAATGTGTTTATTTGATACACTATTTTGAAATTTTTATGTAGGTGTGCACTCAACACCTGAAGGATGTTCTGTGAATAAATTAGGGTTAATACAGCATTTAATGTTGTATAATATACAATGGTATACCATTAGATGTTCACATTGTCCTAATTCACTTTAAAATATACTCTGGATTTAAGATATATTCTGGAAAAAATTAGCAGTTCACGTTAATACAACTTTTCCTGTTTAATTTTAAATAGAATTATGAATATACTCTGGAATATCATTAGCTGTTCGCGTTCAGTCTTTCTGTATGTCAGGGTAAAGATGTGCATGTCATGACCTTTTACAGTTTACAAAACAGAAACAACTACAATTTAACTAGTTTTCTAACAAAGCTATTTAAGGTAGACAAATTGCTGCAAGCATTAACTAATGTAATCCTCTACTGATTCAATGTCAATTCAAAAAGGACCATAGAAGCCATAAAGTAAGCTCTTTATATTGGTTTTAAATGTGTGTGTGTCAAATAGGTTTGAAAATTGCCTTGAAAAATAAGTATAGATGGGTGGGGCTTCTGTTGTGATGTGAAAAAGTTATGTATTTCTTGCTACTGGGAGAAGTTGACATGTTTAATATTAAAATTGTATATATGCTTCTAAGATAATCAGACAGTGTAACATTGAACATGTTCTATATTGTATAGATATTGTGTCTAGGATAAGTTAGCTAATGTAGTTGCTATAATATTGAAGTTAAACTGAAAGAGGAGAATTTACAATGCAGAAACATTTTTCATGACACACAGAAATGAAGATTGAGAATTGTTTTAAATATCTTATTTTGAAATTAATAAATTAAACTTAGATAAAACTCTGCATTGATGATAATGTTATTTAATTAAATTTTGAATGTAACCCTGAAATGTTGTAACATTTGCAAAAGAGCCACGTCTGTACTGAGAGGGTTAATTAATTTTCTGTAATGATTTCTCACACATTATTTGAATGTTATCATAAATAATCTAGAGGGATTGGTTAAGTTGATCTAATGATTTTCTCAACACTTCACTAGATATTTAGTAAATCTACTTTCTGTAGTGTTATATGTTCTAATAAGTCAATATTTGATTACATTTTAGACACCCCTAACTCCAGCGTATCAGATATTGTCAGTGTAACATCCTTATCTCTGCCTGCAAGTGATGAACAGCAGCAGCTTTTGTATGCCACCAAAGGCCATTCTTTGATGAGAAATGGAGATGAAGACAATAAGTAAGTTTTAGTTATAATTTAGTATTAAACAGATCTAAAAGCACGTATTATTAACAAGTGGTAGCAGATATTAATTTTGTATGTGATTATTACAGGGTAGCAGTAAAAATACGTATGAAGACCAATCTGTCATTCATTTTACCACTTGTCACTATGTTATACAGGCTTTGGGGAATTACACTCCTCATCAGTAACAAATAATGAATTGAATGATTGATTGGGCTTCACATATAATTTTAATATCTTAAACAATTTATTTGCTGAATGATTCAGAAGGATAAAGTAGTAGCTATAGATTTTTCAAAACCAGTATGGACAGAAGGTAACACTATATTGTAACAGAGTAACATTTATATGTGTTGTAAGTTTGTTTTAAATTGGTATTAACTTATTTTCTCAATTTTAGTAAGAAATATTTCTTTGTAGTTAGTTTTGTATGACAGAGTATTCACAAATAGGTTTGTGTCTGTGTATGTTTGCTTATACCTTACAATAAAAGCAATCAATTATTTAATTACTTTAGAAAAGTAAAAATTAAAAACTTCCTTTCAAAAAGGCAAAATCCAATAATGAGGTTACTAGAAACTATAAGAAAAATTAAATATAATATGAAATTAAAATTACCAAGCTGTAAACACCTACACATGTAATATGATATGAAATGAAAATTGGAAGATGAAAACAGCTCAAGTTATATCATCTGATATGAAAAATAACCTGCTTCAAACGTTTTTGATTGTATCATCTTAGATATAAGCAAAGATCATGGCATACATCATGAGATAAAATGGTGTAAATAGTGGTGCATAAATTATTCAAAATGAAACATGTTAATGATGTAAACAATATATGCATACATATATATATATATATATATATATATATATA